CTCTGAGTCTTTCTTGATCTTTATTGTCATGCATGCAAGCCCTCTCCCTTTTACTACTCGTCGATTATCTTAGTCTACTATCTGTGCCCGCGACCTCTGCCTCCATGACGACTACTCTCGCTTTTACTCACTTCTGCTGCAGTGCGCGCGCTCTAGTATCTTCGCGCACATCTATCACCTCTTACAATATTTCGCTCCTCTCGACTGTCTATCCTCGACGCGCATATACTCCGGCGCACCCTCACCCCCTTTACCTTCATCAAGTGTGTTTCTTCTTGTTTAAACAAAATAAACCAAAACCGGGCCGGGGGGGGGGGGGGTGGGTGCTTTGAAGGCGCTGCCACCAAGGCTCTGGCCTCCAAACCCGAGGCCCCGCCCAAACAGCGGGCCAGGCGGCAGCGTGGTGGCTCATGTTATCCTGATTTTGAGGAGCTGTGGGCCTGGCACCACCCCGATTCCATCAATAACCATGTCTACAGGGCGTGGACGGAGCATCAGACCGTTTCCTCCTGAGCGTCCTTGGGCAAGTCTTCAACCTCTCAAAGCAGCCTCCATTTTTGCAGCAGGTCCTATGGGAAATAGTTCCCTTCCACCGGGAGCACCCTGCCTGGCACCCAGTAAAGCACTCAATAGGGTCAGTGATGGCGAACCTTTGGAGCTCGGCGTGTCAGCATTTTGAAAAACCCTAACTTAACTCTGGTGCCGTGTCACATAGAGAAATTTTTTGATATTTGCAACCATAGTAAAACAAAGACGTATATTTTTGATATGTATTTTATATATTTAAATGCCATTTAACAAAGAAAAATCAACCAAGAAAATGAGTTCGCGTGTCACCTCTGACACGCGTGTCATAGGTTCGCCATCACTGCACTAGGTGGTGGCTATCATTACGCAGCTTCCCTGCGTGCTGATGCAAGTTAGAGCAAACTGAAAGGCCTTTGACAGCTCCCAGCCAACACCTCCCGCCCGCCCCTCCGCCCCTCCACACGGGTGGTAATTAGACCCCTCCTTGGGTGTGTTCAGAGGTGGGGATTGGACTTATTCTGGGTCGCAGAACTAGAATAAATGAAGGTAGGTTTCAGTTCAACGGAGAAAAAAGCACAATGTTCTCTTGATAGGTAGTGAGCTCCCCGTCGCCTCAATGAGCCAGCTGGCCCAGTTGGCCATTTGGCACGAAGGCTCTAGCACATAAATGGACACTTCTTACCACATCGTTGTATTAGAAGTCCCTTGAATGAAATGGTGGTGCCAGGAGGAGGTACTGCTGTGTCACTAATTTGGCAAAATGAAAAATTGGCCATTCTTACTTGGGCCCTCCAAAAAGCCTTATTGAAAGTCTACCAGTTTATGATACCCAAAATCTTAACCCCCCCTTCAGACACCCCCTCCTGGATCCAAGGTTTAAGAGCCCCAACAGATGCCTATACAACTCCTGGTTGGTGACCATCTTTGGTTTTATCTTTATTGTTGAAAAGTATTACAGACGTCCTCTTTGTCTTTTTCCCATGGACTCCCTCCACCCCATGCCTGCCCCTCCCAGGCCTTCACCGCCCTATTCTCTGTCCATGAGTTACACAGTGCCCATCTAGTGCAAGCCTGAATCTAAATCATGGCTCAGATCAACCACAGAAACCGCAGGGCAAGTACCAGAGAGGCACTTTACCAGCAAGTGCCATCGGGGCTGGGCTGGGCTGGGCTGGCTGAGGGGACTGACCCGTCACTAGTTCCGGTGGATGGGGGAGGGGATGCAGAGCAGGACGGCCTCTCAGGTCCCTCCACTTCCTGGGGTGCCTGGCCCGGGACTGGGGAGGTGGCCCCCCAGTCCGCCCAGCGCCAACTCTCAGCCTCCCCTCATCTTCCTCCCAGAACTGCGTCCCTCAGAGAACCTGTCCTGGAACCAGTGGGGCAGTGACCTTGAGCAAGCAGGAAGGGATGGACCCGTCTCCCAATGCAACCTCCTACCCAAAATAAACCGCTTTCTCAATTCTCTCAAGCTTTGAAAAAAAAAAACAAAAAAAACTCCCCACTTTTGTAACTCCGAGCTTCCTGAGGTTGACCCCATGACAAACTCAGGGCTCCCAGCTGGCTACACCCGAGGGTCCCCGCCTAACAAGGGTGTCTGTGTAGCTCTGGGTCTTACTGCACACAGGGAACTGACCACGGAGGCAGGCTGCTCTGGACATTCCTTTCACGGCCCCCCTCCCCCTTCTCCCAACCAAGCGCTGGACCAGGGCGACCCCAACTGTCCCAGACTCTTGACACCCCTCCCCACATATCCCATCATAAGACAAAGGAGCTGGAGGACAACATGGAATCAAGTATACATTTTAAAAATTGTTTAATGGGACATAAACTCCTTTAGAAAAACATTCAGCCAGGTGATAACACCCATAGAAAAAAACACCAATCTTGTGTTTATCTTTTTTTAATTTGGCATTTGTTATTTGCATTTATATTAAAGCAAAGTGCATCTTTTCTTTATTTTTCTTGTTTATACACATTGCACAATACATAAATAATGATGCTTATAAAACGTCTTTATATTTACAAGTAATAATATATTTATATATAACATAAAATACATTTTTTCTTTAATAAATCTCAGGGTTTTGTGTGTGTTTTTGTGTTTTTTTTTCCAGGAGTCCTTTCTCTCAAAAGCACTACAATGCTAAATTTCCAATGAGAATGCTTCTCTTGTTCACTTAAACCTTTGTAGTTAGAAAAATAGCTTATGTTAAAGTCTAAACATGCTCATTGAGCTAAGAGCAGTGTCAACACATCATACGAGTGTATGAGTTGGAGAAGAAACGAAAGAAGAGTTAGGTGTCAGTCCAGGACGGTACCTTGGGTTATGATGGACCGAATCCTTGGTGGGAAGCGGGCTGCTCCCCTCGCTGGTCTAACAGCAGAGCTCAGCACAGGCCGCAGGAGAGCCAAGTGCTGAGCTGATTTTCTGAGTCCGGGTAAAACCTGAGGGGTCCGGGGCAGGGGAGAGGCTGGGGGCCTGAGAGGGCACCGGGTGAGCAATACTGTAGCTCAGACACATCCGGGAGCAGGTGCCACAGAGGGAAGACAATGGCAGCAGGGTGGCTGGAGGGGAGTTAAGACAAACTGGAAAACGATTCTGGGTCAGCCTCTCGCACAGCGTTGTTTCTAAGAAGCCTAGTGACAGGCCTGGGTCCTTAGGAGGGGAGGGCGGGGCGGGGGCTTCCCTGGCTGAGGGCAGAGCCTTGCTTCTGGCAACTGCTGAGACATTGGGCTCAGGCTGCCCGGGTGCTGTCTCTGCCTCACTGAGCATGTCCAGAGGGCAAGGGAGACACAGCTGGGAGCACAGAGCTCGAGGGTGTGCGCGCACAAACACACACACACCCGTTCACATACCCACCCTGACAAGTGAAACGATGACCCCCCGAGTTAGGGGCTGCTCCCCATTCATGCACTGTGTTCAGGGGGACTGATTTTTGCTTCCTCTTTTCACATGGGGGTGTCTTGCCAACCGTACGATCCCCCCCAAAGACCCCAACAATTCTTTTCATAAGCTATTTCTCAAAGAACAAGACAAAACGGAACATAAACAAGGATGACAAGAAGGAGAGGAGGAAAAAAAAAAAGGAACAATGACCAAAGACTTTTGCATGAAAAGCAAGCACTCGGAGGAAAATATTAGCAGCAAAGTAGTTTGGACTGGGCCCGCCCGGCTCGCTCTGTCCTCGGCCGCCAGCGCGCGGCTACCGGCTGTTGAAGATGACCTCCAGCCAGCACGGGCAGCTGCTGATGAACTGGCGGGTGTAGCACTGGCCCCAGCCCTTCACGAAGCTGATCTGCACGGTGAAGCCAGTCCACGGCTGCTGCATGAACTCGTGGTCGTTGGGCCGCTGCAGGCTGTACGCCTTCTCGTAGTCGAAGGCCTTGATGGAGAAGCCGGGGAACACTTTGTGCACCAGCAGCGTCCTGGAGTCCGGGTTGTCCAGTGTGGCCGACTTGATGAAGATGGGGTAGCTGCTGCGGTTGTACACCCACACGCCGTCCACCTCCCGCGTGAGCTGGATGCCGCAGCCGATTTTGCTCCGCACTTTCTGCACCAGCTGACTCTTGTTGTCCGAATTGAGCTGTCCGAGGCAAAAGCCGTTCCCCTGAGGTAGATCATAGAAGATGTCCAGGGAGGGCTCCTGGACGCAGTAGAGCCGCCCCACGCGCGTCTTCTCCTCCCAGTATGCCACCACGCACCAGTGTGACCGATCCCCAGGCTCCAGGAGAAGTTGGGAATCTGCAAGACAAAAGGGCAGACATGGTTGGTGGGGGTGGGACTTTCTCTTCCTGCTGGAATCCACCCCCCCGCCCCACACACACAGGCACATCCCCACGCACCCACAACCAGCTCGGCTCTCGGCACATGGACAGGAGGAGATGCTGGTGGTGCTGGGCGGCCAACCGGTTCCAGGCCTCCCACTGGGGCTGCAAATCCTGACCCTCTGGTAGAAGTGTCCCGACTTTAATTAAGCAGGGGGCTCACTGGGCGCACCTCATCCCACCCCTTCCCCATCCTGTCAGGGACCCAGACACCAGTACATGCACCCCCCTGGCCTAAGGAGGCCCATCCCTGTGCGCTCAGAGGCCAGGGGGCCTGGTCCTGGTGTTAAAGCCATAAGAGGCCTTGCAGATGGCCTAGGGTTCGTTCTGTAAGCTGATGGCATCCTGAAGGCCAGCGCCCTGCGCCCTGGCCACCCTGATGAGAAACCTGGGCCCCAGAAAGCTTGCTGCTCGGGTCCCGGAGCATGACACAGCCAGGGCCAGGCAGGACCCGATCTCCAGACGCCAGGACCACCTGCCCCGGGGTCTCTGTGCCTGTCACCAGGTTCTCAGATCAGTGCTTTGGGCGTAGGAGCTGTCTGGTAAAAATGTAAATGGAGGTGTTTGGGGGCAAAAGAATCTTCCTAACAGAGAAACCACCCTCGGTGTCTGTCGGCAGCAGCGCTGCGCACAAAGCGTGGGTTCCCGCCAAAATGCCACATCACAACCCAGGACAGTCCAGTTAACCCAGACCACCTTAAGGAAGCTTCCTCCAGCCGACACCAGATTGTGTGTCTAAACTGGGCATGGCCACCCTTAAAGTGCCCTTCTCCCCTCCCTCCCAGCAGCATCTAGGCGCCTGGCCTGCCCCCTCCTTCCTCCCGCCCCTGCAGGCCCCACCCGGGACGTCCCAGAAGTGCCTCTTCCCGCAGGCAGCCTGGGAGGCTGGCGAGATCCTGGTAAGGCGATTTTCCTAAATCGGCACACGGAGCTCTTTAAAGGGGGACGTATGGAAGGAAAGGGAGCCCTTGGCGGCTGGCATTCCGACTCCTCCTTAAGCTGGAGCCAGCGGGGCAGGCCTCAGACTGGGAACCATAAATCTCCCCAGCCAGGCCGGGCTGCAGGAACCCGGCTGCGGTTTGTGGTGGCAGGGCGGAGACCGGAAGTCTTGTATTTGTTAACAAAAATGGGGAGAGGGGTGGGGGTGGGGGGCAGGAGGCGAAGGCTTAGGACAGGAAGGAGGGGTTGGCTGTGAGGTGTCTTTCGGGGTGTGCTTGGCCTTTTTGATTTTGGAACAGCGGGGCTTGGAGAATAGAGGGGTTGTTGCAGCGTGGCCACGGGGTGGAGGGGGGCTGGGGGCCCCGTCTGCTGCTCTAGTGCAGCTCAGCACACAACTCCGTCCAGTGGCGACAGGCATGTTAGGACCTGGGAGCCGGTCAGCCCCATGAACTTTTTTTTTAAGCAGCAGCCAGTCTCGCATGGAGGCGTCCCATGAGTAAGTGGACACCGTGCCCTCGGACCCACTGAGGCAGCCAAGCACACACCCACCCTGCAGACACCCCACCTGGCCTTCTCAGACGCCTGCCCAGACAGCCACACAACAGGGAACTGCGGGCTCGTTCCTCTCCCTCAATCCCCATCCCACCGAACGCCAACCCGGAACACGGGCCGTCACCCCCCCCCCCCCCAACGCATGCACCTATAAAGCACAAGTGTAAGCGAGACTGTGTGTCCCCAAACGCGAGCACACTGGAGTGTGTGTGTTTGCATGCGCACACATGGGAACATATGGAAAAACAAGAGAGGGACAAGGGCTCCAAGCAGAAGGTGACTCATCAGGCATTAACTTGTTTCTGCAAAGTATCCATCAACTGCTAATAAACTCGTGAGCGCTGGCAATCTTTGAACTTTCTTGCCGAGGGAGTGCGGCCCTGAAGGCTACACAAAGACCCACAGCAGCCACGTAAACAAGGCTCTGCGTCGGGGCGCCTCTTCTGGGAGAGGGGGCATCCGCCCGAGGGGGAGGGTGTCGGAAACGTAAGCAGCTCTCCGTAAGCAGCTCTCCCTCACTGTCCCAGCTCCGGGCAACAAACCTGGCTGGAAGGGAGCCACGGGGAGGGCGGCGCAGGAGACCCTCAGCGGAGCCTTACAATACTCTGCTTCACGGAGCCTGGCCCCCTGAAACCTGGCCCCGGCCCCGGCTAGCAGGGAGGAGGAGCTGCAGGGTGGGGTGGGGTGGGGGCCTGGGATCAGTTGCCCTCCTGCCAGGCCAAGAAGTGGGGGCCGTGTCGCCCCACGGGCCTCTTGGGGGCAGAGGAAGCCGGGAGGGGCTGGGGCAGGGCTGGGCCTGAGGTCGGCTGGACTCCAGCCCAGCCCAGCCCAGCGCCTGAGGGGAGCGAGGGAGAGGGGAGCGTTCTGGCGGGTTCTCTTTCATCTGTGCAGCCTGCCAGTCCACCCAGCAATTTGCTGCCAGACATCCCTGGAAAAAGCCTTTTTCTGTTGAGGTTAATGGCCCGGCCCAGATAAACGGCAGCGTGTGGGTGTCCCTGTGTGTGAAGAAGGCCCCTGAAAGCTCACCGGGTGCCCTGATCTGGTGCACCGGGACCCCCAGTCACCCCCAGTCACCCCACAGCCTTCTGCCCGACTCTGAGCACAAACGGCTGCAACGGCTCAGGCCCCTGAATGCACACTGCGGCCCCGCACAGCTTCCCGCGTGGCCGACTCGGAGAGTCTCCTCCTTTGCCCCAAATTCCCCGTCACTCGGGCTCACTTCTGGGAAGCGCACACCATCATCTTCAGAGAAACCCAGTTCCCTGAACTGGGCCCACAGCCCACACATACAAGCGTCTCCCCGCCAAGGTCCGCGGGTCGCTCCGGGGCCCCCCAGGCCTCGTGGTGAGGACCCCGCGGATCTCAGCTGGTGCCAGGGCTAAGCGAGGGCCTCGGAAGCCCAGCGTGGCTCCTGTCGCGGCTGCCGACACCAACGCCAAGGGTGAGCCCGCCGCCCCTCGTTAACGTCCCTCAGCTTTATAACCTTTTCCGGCGTTTTCCCTCCTCCCAACGCTGCACAGGGGCTTGTTTTAAAACTGTATTTGCGCGTTTTTAAGCATCAAAAAGAAACGCTGTGTTGTAAAAAGCTAACTAATCAGCTGCCTGCTCACAAATTTTTTTCTTTTTATTATGGTTTAGGGAATTTTTGGAGCGATCCCAGAAAAAATGCTGAATCGGCCTAAAATTCCTATAAGGTTGTCCCACGCCCCCTTTCCCCATTTCGCTTAGAGCATAAAATCGACCCTTGGAGAGGAAGGGGAGGTGGGTGCCGAGGAAGAGGAAGGGGAGGTGGGTGCTGAGGAAGAGGAAGGGGAGGTGGGTGCCGAGGAAGAGGAAGGGGAGGTGGGTGCTGAGG